CCTGGAGAAGGGGAGACTCCGAGGGGATCTGTTGGCGACATGCAGGTGTGTGAGGGGGTGTCACACGGAGGTGGATAGAGACCTGTTCTCCCCTGCAGAGGAGGGCAGGATGTGCTCCAGCAGAGCCAAGCTCAGGGAACCCAGGTTCAATTTGGATGCCAGGAAGCACTTCCTGACGGTTAGGACCCCAAGGGTGTGGAATGGGCTTCCCCAGGAGGTGGTTGAGGCCCCATTGGTGTGGGTGTTCAAGGACAGGCTGGACATGCACATGGTGGGCATGTCGTGAGTGGAGCCGGCTGGAGGCAGGGTCAGACTAGATGGCCCAGAAGGCCCCTTCTATGTTCTCTGAGTGGAGCCGGCTGGAGCCGGGGTCAGAATAGATGCCTTGGGAGGCCCCTGCTGCCTCGCTCTCTTTCTGTGTTTCTGTGACTTGTGCGCAGGTGGGCATTTGTAGGCACAGATCTGATCCCTGGGTCTCTCCAGTAGCTAGCTCTGTCCCAAGATGTGGGGCAGGCTACCCATGTGGATGGTCTTAAAAGTGGATTAAGCCAATTCAGTGGGCAGCAGGGAATTGGGGTGGCTAGTCCTCATGGTGCTGTGCCACTGTCAGGATCGAGGCAGGGTGCCAGGGCAGGGCAGCTGCTGGGGAACATGGGTTGCCCCTCCAGTCTGCTTGGGAGGCTCCTGTTGGGGCTGCTGTCTGGGCTGGACGTGGGAGTAGGGAGAGCTCGGTTTGGTCCTGCTTCCAGGCTCCTTGGGATCCCCATTGCTTCCTAGGCTTTTCTCTGTGGGTTCCACTCCTATTGAAATTGACTCGGTTGCTCTGCTCGATGTTTGCTCCTGTTTTAATCTTTGTCAATTCTGGGTTTTTTAGTGTGCTTGTTCTGATATTGCAGACCCTAAGCATGGGCTGGAGTCCCTCCAAAGCCCCTTTCCAGGCACTGTGTGTTTTAAAAATGCCATGTTGTGCGGCTCTTGCTTATTTTTTTTTAATAAGAGAAGATGGAATGTAAATAATGCCACACTGATAAGCTGAAGAAAGTAGCAAACTGACATTTCCAACAGCAATAGCAAATTGCTATAAGCTTCCCGAATCTATTTTCCTTTGGAGGAAAATTTTTGTGCCTGGGTTCATCGCTGGCACTGGGGGCACGAGGGCAACCCTGTGGCAAAATCTTGAGATTTTTGAGATATTTTCCCCTGGGGCTTATTTTTTAATTCCCAGAAAGAAAACAGTAAGTGAGGGCGGCAGAAGACGGCAATGGCATGGGAGGACAGCACTGTGGGTCTACTTCTGTGTAAGCCTGGCAGGGTGCGGGGAGCTCTGAGCATGTCTCTCCTGCGGACTGGGCAGCTGCAGTGCAGGCAGATATGGCCAGAAAAAGCCTGCCAGGCCCTCGCTGCTCCCACACGCGAGGAGTGCGTTCATGCGCACCCACGGCCGTCTCCGGGGGCTCACCTGCAAGCGTGCCTCCGTTGTTGAGGCTGCCCGTGAGCCAAAGCCCCTCTGGCCCGCGCGCAGAGCGAGCCGAGCGCTGCAGGTAAGCGGCAGTGCGGAGGGAGCCCACATAAGCCCCCGAGTTTAAGATAGGGCGCTGCCCCCCAGGACTCCTCTGCTGCAAAGCGGGGGAAACCAGCAGGGAAGAGGCCTCAGGCAGAGAGGCTGTGGGGAGGCCCCTGCGGGCCCAGCGCCAGCTCTCTGGGGGTGGGGGGAATCTGCAGAGAGGCCTTCTGCTCCTGGACTGCAGCCAGTGCCCTTGGAGATAGCTCCGCAGGCCTCTTGGAGAACCAAGGTTAAAGATTCAGGGCTCCAGCGCCTGTTGAGCACAGCCTCCGAGAGGGGAGAGGGTTATCTGGGTCAAAGCTGCCCAGGGCTTTGTAAGCTGATTCCAGCCCTTTGCCCAGCGGCTACTTCGCTCGCGGTTTCGGGGCCCGGCAGAAGCAGAACAGTGTGCAGAGGCAGTCCCCAGTCGCGCGTTCAGGGCTCCGGATCGGAGCGGCCAAAGCACCCGGAGCGCGGCTGGGTTGCGGCTGCCTGCGCCTGGGGCGGCCCTGTGGGGCGCAGCGAAGCGGCCGACCCCTGGCAAACGTCGGGGCCGCCAACGGCACCCCACCAGCGGCCTCCGCCGCGGTCTCCCCACACAGGGGCTCTCGGCACACTCAGCTGCCGCCATCTAGCGTGGCTCCGTGAAGCAGCCACATGAGTCACCCCAGAGTGTGCACATGTGCCAGGTTTGCACTGGCTGAACTGACAAATGAGCTGAAATGGAGGAACGCGCTAAAAGATGGCGTTTTCTCAAATGTCGGGCACCGTAGTCCTCTGCAGCAAGAAAAGGGAAAAGCGTCCCTTGGGGGACGGGCCTGTCCCAAAATCCGTGTCGCCCCAAAAGCAGGAAACCGAAGTGCACAAGACGGTGGGAATGATGCCTCGAAACATATTGCCATACGGGGGTGCCTGTTGCTCTACAGGCGTATCTTGGGCAGTGGCCACCGAGCCGCCTGTGAATTTCTGTGTGGCCTTCTAACTGGCTGTGCAGGCGGATGCATGAGAAACGAGGCGAAAACAAGATGGCGTGACTCCTGTCTGGTTGGACAGAAGCGTTGCAGTGGCTCATTTGTGTCCGTGGGAAGTTTTTGGGCTGTGTCCATCTGGCCAATCGCTTTGGGTTTCACTCCTCTGCCATTTCCCGGAGGAAACAGCTTTTTCAAGAGGACTAGCACTTCAACTGGACTTCGAAAGAGAACGGCAAGGAAAGTCTGTGGCCCCGTCAAGTTGTCTGGCAGTTCCTGGGGGACCATGCCCTGTTGAGCAGAGAATAGGCCAGGGCCCCTCACTTCACTCCAGCTTCCGGTGGCCTGATCCGCGTATCTGCAGCTCTCTTGCTCTCATGCAGGCACAGCGCTGGGGCCTGGCCTTGCAGGAGCAAACCAACATGCAGATATTCATTTAAGCGTGCCCAGAATCTGTGCACCTTTCAAGGAGGGTGTCTCTGAAGGAAAGCCCCTTTTGTCAGATAGGAGGTTTGGTCAGGAGGGTAGGGTGGTGGATTTCAGGAAAAAAAACTCTGGAGGAAAGATCTGGGGGGGGGGAGCAGGGGGGCATGGGCCAGAAGCCAGAAGCTGTTTTCTCTTCAGGGCCTGCAAGCGAGCGACCGTCGCAGTGCCGGCTCGGGCAGGAGGCCTCCCAGAGGTTCGGGGCTGAATGAAGATTCAGCGGGCTGCCCCCAGCCCTGCCTCAGCTTGCCCCCAGGCCTCCCTTCTCCAGGTCCCTGGCAAGGGGGTGCCGGGAGGGGAGCCTGGTTGTGCAGCTCAGGCACAGGGGGGCCCCGTTCTCCCACGGGGGCTGCCTCCTTCCCCGCCTGCGTGCACCAGGCTCCGTCTCCTGGCTTTTTTGCTCTGGCCTTTGCCTGGAAGGAGCACCGCTGACCCTCCTGGGCCCTGAGGACGGGGAGCGGTTTGCAGGCAGCTCTGCCAGGCGCTGGGGCCCCTCGCTCCCCATCGGCTTGCCTTGGCTTGGTGACTCAGCCCTCAAAGCTCAGCTGTTCCCGGTGCGGCTGGGAGGGGTGCACCTTTCTCCCAGCAAGCGGTGCCAAACATGCTCCCCAGCCTGGTGCTTGTGACCACTGGTGGTGGTCAGGATGAGACCCAGGGCACCAGAACAGGAGCTGGGCCTATGCAAGACCGGGAGTGAATTCCTGCTTGGCTTTGGGTGGCCAGAGGACAGTCCTTTGTTAGAAGGTGCCCCTTTATTGTTTGGCGGTGGGTCAAGCCTGGGCTGAAGATAAAGATAATGAGTGTCCGGGTGTCCTCCTCCGCAGAGGATGGTCCTTGCTTTTGGAGGGCGGCCAGAACGCACTCCTCTGTCTGGTCGGCCGCGGTGTGCAGTGACGGCCCGGAGCCGGTCGGGCTGCTTCCTCAGGGGCTGTTCTCAACCCACCCCTCCTGCCCACGAGGCTCGCAGGCTGCCAGCCGGCCACCTTTGGGCACGGAGCTGCTCGATCCTTGTCACCAGGAAGCACCACAGTCGACGGCCCGATCTTTGCAAACACCACTCCACCCTGAGCAGTAGCAAAAGGTCAGTGCGGATGTTTACACTCGCTGGGGCGGACCAGAGAGGCGCCCGCCTCGTGCGATCGGCCCGGCCCGGCCCGGCCCTGCGGGGGGCCCTGGGCGGGTTTGGCCCAGATTGCTCCTGCCCGAGGCCAGCCTTGCCCTGCAGGGCTTGCATCTTTTACGGCTCTGCGGTCGCCGTTCCAGAGTCACGCACTCCGGCTGCGGTCCCAGCCCGGCGCTTTCCCCTTTGCACCTGAGCTCCTCAGCCCGTCCGTCGCCGCATGACGAGGCCGTGTGGCCTCAGCACACGTTGGCGGCCGGATCGCCGGAAGGAGGGGCGGCCCAGGCGTGCGCCACGGCCCGGCCCATCGCCCTGGCCCAGCCCCGCCGGAGACAGTGCGGAGGGAATCTTGGCGCAAGTGTCAGCTGTCAGCTGGCCGTGAGCCAGTGCATGTGTTCAGCTTCCCGGCCGGGGGTGGGCCACGCCGCAGAAGTTTCCTGGGAGCGCCGGACGGGATGGTGCGTCGCCGCTTTGGGCTCGAGCGCCTCAGGCGGGACGTGGCGAGGTGGCCCGCCTGGCGGCGGTGAGCCCCCCGGGGCCAGCGTGTCGGCCGTGTGGGCAAGGGGACACCTGCCGCGGCGGTTCAGCGAGTCCGGGAACATGAAGGCGGAGCCTCCGGGCCCCACAGCCACAGGGGACCTGCTCCGTTCGCCCCGTGGCAGCCGCTGCGTTGGGACTTTCCCCGCCGTGGCGGGCGTCTGCGCCGGCCGCTCGAGGCCCCGGCTGCTCCCGTAACCAGCTGCCAGCCACACTCTCACTGCGCTCCGCAGACTGCCGGAGGAAGCCCCGCTGGTGGGTCGGCGGCGACGGCCCGGCCATGCGTTGCTCCTCGAGTCCACACGGCTCCCCCGTGGGGTCCCCGAACCCCACGCCCCACAGCTCGCCCGTGCTCTTCAGGAAAATGCCGAGGAACCTAACCACCCGTCTCCAGCGGCGGTTCACTGTGGCCCACCCACCTTGGTAAGAGCATCCGCGGGGCACGGTGTGGGGGGCGCTCGGACCCACAGAGGTTCTAAGGGCCTCTTCCCCTGTGAGCTCCAGGGACTCCTCCTGGCCCTCCGTGTCCTAAAGGTGACCTTGGCAGGGTTCAGAAGGCCTTCGGAGTGGCTCATGGGTTTTCCACCACTGCTTGTCTCCCGTACACTGCATCCTGCATTCAAAGGTAGACTGTTGCTGCATGTGGAAGTTTGACTGACGTCACAAGACTTAACGGTGATTGGTAGTCTTTGGCTCAGTGAATGTGTTGCATTAATTCCTCTTTAAAGAGAGGCCCTCTCTGCATCGGGGGAATCAAGTTTCGCCATCTAATTCTGTCAGATGAAGGGAGTCTTTTTGGATATGTACCACGTGCTTTCATCACCCTTCTCCCTGGCTGCTTTGGCACCAGGGAGCTCAGAGCAACTTTGATAGTCTTCCTCTTGCTCCTTTTTAGCCTCACAACAAGCCTGCAAGGTAGGCTAGGCTGAGAACTGGGGACCGGCCAAAGGCAATCAGGGAATTTCAAGGGATCTCCCCAGTACATGCTAACCACTAAGCTGCACTGCCTCCCTCTTTCCTGTTGTCTGCCTTGCACCCGTGCCCACACCCCCACAACCCTTCAAAAACCTGGCTCTCTCCTTGCTGTTACGCTTTACAGACAGAAAACCAGGCTGACTTCCTGAGGTTTGGGCGGGCAAAGCGGAAGCTCTCTGAGCAGGAGCAGCTGATCCCCAGAAGCCAGGCAGACAGGCGAAAGCGGCGCTACCGCCTCCCCCGGCTTTTCCCGCGAGGGACCCCCCGCGACCTTGTGGGCGGCCGCGCGAAGGCTTCCCTTTGCCTTTGCCTTTGGAACGCAGGGTCCGGCCTGGAAGAACGACCCCGCCGCCCCCCTCGGGATCTCTCTCCCTCTTGCTGCCAAGATCACTGCTGAGGAATCTGCTCAGCACAGCCGCGGACGGGACGGGACGTTCCTCGGCCAAGCCCGCGTTCCTCCCTGCCCCGTCCCCTCGCCTGCTCGGTTTCCCGCTGACCACTCCCGTGTGGGACGGATGCTGCTTCTGGCGTCTGGGACAGGGACGGACGACCATGCCCTTGCCCTGCCCTGCCCACCGGCCCACAGACCCGACTCCCCACGTCTCCGCTCCACGCGGGCGTCTTTTAAAGGAGAGTGCCAGCCTAGGGTCAGGGGCTTTCGAGCCGGCGCCAGCATGGAGTTCTGTGCGGCCGCTCAGCTTGCTCACTTCCACGCAGAGCGGCAGGGTCTCCCACCACGGAAGCCCGGCACTGCAGGCCGTGCGGCCGAGCCGCGTTTCTGAAGGATGGTCCCTGCGGGAGGGACACATCTGCCGCCAGCTGTTCTCGGGCCCCCCGCCCATTCTGGCGCTTGGCATGGTGCCCCACCTCTGGGGCGGTGGAGGAGGGGCGCATGGAGACCCGGCCCACCGAGCCCTCCAAAACAGTCAGCCCCATCACGCAAAACACACAGCCGTGAAAGCCAGGCACAGATGTACAAATGCAGACACCACTGTGCTAATCCCCCGAGACACTTCTCTTTCACAGGCAATTAAGCTTTGGTGTTATCTCATGCTTTTTGCAGCATGTTTATGCTGCTCCTTGATCAAAGGTTGCCGGAGGGGTTTATGCAGAATCTAGGAAGCCAGAGGGTCTCTGCCTCCGCCAGCTTACAGTTAAATGAAATGGCAAATGGAGGACGGAATGGGGGGAGAGGGGAAAGTCTCTAGCAGGGCTGGTGGAGCCCTGCTCCAGAGGATCCAGCATGTGCCGCTTGAGGCCCAGATCCAGCCAGGAAAGAAAACGGCATCCTCCCAGCGAGCAGACAGTCGGAGCCGATCTGCGGTTGGACAGGAGAGGCAGTCGGGTCCCTGCTGGGTGGCCAAGGGCCAGAGTGGCCAGCGTGCACCCAGGACCCGGCCTGGCCATTCAGCGGGTGGCAGGGAGGGAGGGGGAATGCGCCCCCCCCGCCGGGGGAATGGTTCATCGGGAAGGCTTTGCTCACGCTCACCCAGAGCGCTGTGCCCTCAGGTGCCACTGGGGGAAACGAGCCAGAAGCGGAGTGTTTCCCTCGCGCTTCCGAGTGAGGATGTGCTGGCCGCCCGTCCTGGGGCTGGCTGGAGGGACTGAAGCCGCATGGGGCTGCGGGCTCCCCTCTCCAGCGAGTTCCAGCCCAGGGGAACCCCACCCCACTCCAGGCGCCGGCGCTGCCCTCCGGGAGGTGGTCCACAGCGCAGTTTGGGGCTTGGACCCGCGGAGCGATCGGCTGCGTGTGCTGCTTGGCCCGGCTTCTGGACTGACGTGATTGGGAGTGAGCCGCTGAAAGGCTGGCCTGTTCTTCTTGGGGCGGCTTTGTGCACAGGGCCAGGAGGTTGTCGGGGCCCGGAGGGGGGCCCGGACGTGCTGGGCCGGGCAGGCGGCGATGTCCGTGAAGATGCTGCCGTGCTTCCGGCACTCCCATCGGAGGCACTCCTGTGCTGGTTTCGCCTCGCCTAAGGCTAGGCACGCACCAGCGGGTATTTTCGTCCCGGGACAGCAGCCCTGGGGGAACCCGGAGCCCAGCTGTGGCCTCTGTGTGCCAACAGGGCAGGTCCAGGTTCTGCCCCCCACCAAGCCCCACCCACGTGGGGCAGGCTTAAATTGCACCAAGCCTCCGCAGAGGCGCCAACGGGCCATTCAAGGTGTGCAGTGGTTGCATGTTACCTTTGCGTACCCTCTTTGTGGCTTGCGCCCTGCAGAGAGCCCTGCCTGGCGCCTCCTCCGGCCTCCCTGAAGCCAGGAGTGGCCCCTTTAAGGGCTTGAAAGGGGCCCGGCAGCTCATCCCGCTGTTCGTGTCCGATTTCGTTTGCTGTTCTAGAGCGTTACATTTTTTGCGGCTGATTTTGCCTCAAGACGAAACGGGGGTTCCCTTCTGGTGCTTGCCTCTGCGTTGCGCGTTCCTCGGTGGTGCAGCGCTCCGAGGACTTCAGTGCTGGGCGGCTGAGCCGCGCAGCAGTGGCGCGATTCTGGGCCGGCATGAACCAGCAAAAGTGCCGGGTGTGTTCCGCCAGGAGAGAGTCCTACAGCTTGCGGCGTTTCTCGGCTCTTCTCCGGCCGCACGAGCGCAGGACTGCGCCGCAAGCAGGGGGATAACGGGTTTGGGGGGCCGGGGGGCCCTCCTCGCTGGGAAGTTCTTCTCCTTCCGGCAGCCTCAGGTCACGGGGGGCAAATTCCAGGGGCAGCATCTGGCAGATCCCCTTCATCCTGTTTTGGAAGCACACTGGTCTGGCGGTGGCGCAGCGGGAGGGATCAGCCGGGTGAGGCGCAGGCTTTGCCCTTCTCGCTGCAACCTGGCTCTGCTATGCTGAGCTAGAACCCCCGGGAAGTTTCTTTTCCAGGGTCACAGCTCATCTCAGGGGGAGGGGTGGGCTGGATGACCTCTCTGTGTCCCTGCTCCCCCCCCCCCAAGTACACGCTTTTGCAGAGCCCTTCTTGGCGCTGCGCTTCTCTGGCGCTGCTTCTTGGCGCTGCGCCTGCCGCCAAGCTGTCCCCCTTTCGGTCCCAGCGGGGGTGGGGGGGAGGAATACATTCTTCTCCCGACATCATGGAAAGAGGAGTGGAGCCAAGAGGCGGACGGAGGAACTCCAGGATGGGATGAAGGGAAAAAGTGCTGGTTTCCCCGTTCCTGCTGCACCCCCTTTGCTGTTGCCCCGGCCGGACGGGCTTCGTAGGGACGGTGAATGGTACCCAAATCGGGCAACCTCCCCCATGCCCGGGGAGGACGGGTTGGCGGGCGAAGGTGCAGGATGGCGGGGGGGGGGCATTACCCTTCATGCCCAGCAGCCCCTGCCCTTAAGAATTGCCCCGAGGGGCAGGAAAGTGGAGGGGGAAGCTTTGGCTGCACGCAGGGGGATGCCTGGGGCCTGGCCAAGGGCTGCCTAGGCCTGGCAGGGACGCCGGAGGTGGCCGGGCTCCCTCCTCCTGAAGCAGCTGCCACTCCGGGTCATCGGCTGACATGTGCGGGAGGCCTGTGCAGGATGCGCCAACATCAGATAACGCCTGGTCACGAAGGGGACTCATCCGTGAGGGGTCTCGGGCCGACAACCGACAGGCCTGTTTTCCCGGAGAAAGTGAGCACGTGGCTCGGCACCAGTGTCCTGCTTCCGAGGGAGCAAAGCTCAGGGAGCCGAGGTTCAGTTTGGATGCCGGGAAGTCCTTCCTGACGGGTAGGACCCCCAGGGTCTGGAAGGGGCTTCCACGGGAGGGGGCGAACCCCCTCGGTGAGGGAGTTCGAAGATAGGCCAGACATGCACATGATAGCCGTGTCGTGAGTGGAGCTGGCTGGATCCAGGGTCAGACTAGATGGCCCAGGAGGACCCTTCTGCCTCGCTCGGTTTCTGTCTTTCCTGGAAGCGACACTCGCAGCCCAAGTGGGGCATTCCAGATTCTAGAGGGAAACCTGAAAGGCCTCAGCTCAGGCCAGTGAGGAGTTGGGGGAAAGAGTCCAATTTTGCCTCTTTCCCATGGAAAGGAACATTTGGGAAGGAACCCCAGCTTTTAGTTTTCACTGCACCAGCCTCTCTTTCTGGATCTGGCACCTCCGCTTGTGCTGGACTGCAATGCCCATCATTGCCAACCAGCAGGGACAGTGAGAGAGAGAGAGTGAGTGTGTGAAAGAAAGAGAGGGACTGGGTTTTTTTGTTTTGTTTTTATAAGAATTAGGGCAAGTCTGTGTCTGACAGGTAGATGGACAGAGAGATTATGGAATTTCAAAAATAATGACATTAAAGGTCAGCTCTGAATAAGATAAATGCGGAGAGAGAGCTGTTTGCAGTGTATGTAAACAACATGGAATTTTAAAAGAATTGTTTTGATTGGAGATATGTTATCTTAGTCACAAAGCCGCGTCCGACCCATTGCGACCCCATGGACAACCTTCCTCCAGGCCTTCCTGTCCTCCACCATCCCCTGGAGTCCACCCAAGCTCACGCCGACTGCCCCAGTGACCCCATCCAGCCACCTCATCCCCTGCCGCCCCCTTCTTCTTTTGCCCTCCATCGACCCCAGCATCAGGCTCTTCTCCAGGGAGTCCTTCCTTCTCATTCGGTGGCCGAAGTATCTGAGCTTCATCTTTGGGATCTGGCCTTCTAAAGAGCCGTCAGGGTTGATCTCCTCTAGGACTGACCGGTTTGATCTCCTTGTGGTCCAAGGGACTTGCAGGCGTCTCCTCCAGCACCACGGTCCAAAGGCCTCAATTCTTTGGTGCTCACCAATGTTATATTTAGCTACTTCTAGTTACTTTAATGAGATTATTTTGCTTTTGTCGTAGTTGCATTGCTTTAATGGTCTGTTTAAGTGTATATTATCATGATTTTAATTTTGTAAGCTACTTGGGGATAAGTATGTATATAAAAAACAACACGTGAATTTTCCGAATTGAACCCATCAGGCACACATAGGTATGCAAGTATTTAAGTTCAGTAACTGCCAAGCACTGTGCTGCTTAAATACCTTTAATTAAGCATAATAATGATGAGGAGGTTTCCCTTTAAAGATAAAGTAGTGAATTGAAGAGGGAGACGCAGCGGTGCGGTTGCAATGAAATCGTCCAAACCGCCCCCCCCCCACCGTCACTGTCTTCTGTATGAATTTTGCCCCCTTCTGCTCTTTGCAGTTTCTACATTGGAAATGGCTTTCCCCCTGTTCAGAACCCGCTCAACCCTCAGACCAACTTGGGCTTGGGCCTTGTACTCCAAGGAAGCAGCTTTCATGTCCAGCGCCGCGAGTCTTTCCTTTACCGCTCCGACAGTGATTACGATCTCTCACCCAAAGCCATGTCGCGGAATTCATCTGTGGCCAGCGACATGTATGTATGGAGAGCACGCGCCTGTTCCGGGGAGGGCAGGGGGTGCCGGGCCACCTGCCTGCCTTCCCGCGACCTCCGCTTGCCCCTGGGCAAAAGCCCGAGCCCTGCAGGCAAGCAACTTTCCACGTCAAACTGCTCTGCTGCCTAGCAAGACTGGCTCCGCTTGCTCGGCTGCCGGGAATGTCGGTGGCCGTTCCGTCGTGCTTGGCGAGGGCCAGCCGGGCAGTGGAGTGAGCGCCCCTTGCAGCCGGACGGGGGTCACACACCCAGGCAGGTGCCCTGGGCGTAACGTGAGAGGCTTCCCTGGTGGGGGCTGCGTATAGCAGCTTTTTTCCCTGGGGAAATGTTGGAGGGTGTGCCCTGTGTTGGAAGAGACCCCCACGCAGGGCTTGTCCAAGCGGTCAGGGCTTCGGTCTCTGAGCCGCTTTTGCGCTCCTCTTGCAGGCACGGAGAAGACCTGATCGTCACACCTTTTGCACAGGTATTTGGGGCTGGTCGGGGCACGTGCTGGAGGGGGCGGGGGCCCGGCAAGGAGCGTCCACCCAGTCCAAGACCTTTCTCTGGCCAAGTCCGCATGCCGGTCAGAAGGGGGTGGCATCGGCCCCCCTGACTGTGGGGGTTTCTCCGGAGGGAGGGGATGCTGTGCGGGGTGCAGCTGGACTGCGCTCAGCCTTGCTGCTGCAGCTGGGCTTTGTGCGGCTCGGGGCCACCGATTCACACAGCCCTGGTCTGAGCAGGGGCCTCTGAGGGCTGCTCAGTCCGGCCAGCGCGGCCCTCCAAGGCCCCCCCACGAGCTCGGGGGATGGCAGTCGGATGCCCCTCCAGCCGCCTTCTCCTGCCCCCCCAAGAACTTTGACCACTTCCTAAGAAGCCCTCCCCTCCAGTCAATAGCAACGACGGCAAAAGCATAGTAGGGAAGCGGTGCCTCCCGGTAGTTTGGGCAACGGGGCCCATCATCCCCTGCTGTGGGGCACACTGGCTGGGAGCTGATGGGAGCTGCGTTCCCCTTGGGGATGTGGGGTTCCCAACCCACCCACGCCCTTCCATGCTGCATTGGGCCAGGAGGGGTCTCTGCCCAGTGCCGAACCTGCTGCCCCCCGCCCATTTTGTTGGGAGGCTCCAGAGCCTGAGTGCTCTTCCCTGCTGGCTGGGGATGATGGGTCTGTAAACTGACACTTCTGGAGGGCACCCGCAGCTGCCCGGTTGTGCGCTCCACCAGAGTTCGGTTTGTGGCAAGGAGGACTGGGGGCCGCCGAGGTTTTCCTGGCATTCCCGTCGCCGTCACGGGGAGGGCTTGCGTGGGGTGGGGGGCAAAGCCGTGCGAGTCATTCCGAGGGAATTCCACCCCCAGCTCCTGGCCAGCCTCCGGACAGTGCGCGGCAACATTGCCAGCTTGATGCCTCTGCAGCAGGAGCACCTCGGGAGCAAGTGAGTTAACGTGGCCGCCCACGCACACGGGCGAAACGTGCCCTGCGCGACCCGGCGGCCTGGGCGGCCTGCTGTGCCTGGGAGGCCAGGTGTGGACAGAGGCAACGGCAGGGCGGGGGCAGAGCTTTCACAGAGGCGGATCTTGGCGTGGAGCGCCATGGCCAAAAGCCACTCTTCCCTGCTCGGAGCTCCCCGAGGCCCAGCTGGCACCTGCTGGGGGCCTCGGCACGTGGGTTCGGGCCCTCTCCCGGCTCTGGGCAGGGCAGAGAAGTGCCGGGCAGAGGAGCGGGGCTGGTTTTCGGCGGGAGAAATAATAACGTGCTTCACGTGTCTTTTAGGAGGACCACGAGCGCCAGTAGCGCTGCAGCTGCACCCAAAGCCAGCTTCTCGGGTAAGACCCTCCGCCTTCCGGATGGCTCTGGGGCGTGTCCCCTCCGCCACCCCACGAGGGGGCCACCACCATCCCTACGCCATCCCTGCGGTGCTGGCCCCGGTTTCCCATGCGCACGGTGCAGGCTGGAGACCTCTGCAGCGGGGGCCTGAGGAGAGCCTGGTGCGGCGTGCGCACCCCGTCCTTTCGCCCCATCCCCAGCTTCCATCCCGCCTCTTCCAGGTGCGTTGCCCCTGGGAACCGCGCTTCAGCTCCTCTGGAAGAAGCGGGTTGCAGAAAGCATGTTTGTTGGCTCTTTGTCCACTTTAAGTAATAAAATGATGGAGGTTTTGAAAAACAAGCGCCTACTCTACTCTGAACGTGAGGCTGGGGGGGGAGACAGACGCTGTAAGTCATGTTAAGGCTCGGCGGGAACAATTACGGGGAGGGCAGCCGCCCCTGATGCTCGTGGTCCATTACCACGTCCACGTGAGAGAGCAATGTATCCACTGTTATTCATGTGTAGGGCAGGCCCAGTGAATGGGGCATCAGTCAGACCTCGGGTGCTGTGTCGCCCCAGAGCCAGGTGAAACGCAGCCCTCACCCTGCCTCCTCCCGCACGCGCCACGGTTCATCCACCGCTTCTGTGTCCTCACATACTTCTTGTCTGCTGGCCCCCAAAATTAGAAAGAGCAAAGGAACTGAACTGTTCAACTCAGCCTTCCCCAGCCCGGTGCCCCCCAGATCTTTTGCACTTCAATCCCCATCAGCCCCAGTCTGAATGCGTAACGGCGCAGTGTCGGGAGAAAAATTGCTTTAAGCTGCAGCTGAAACCCCGCCATGCTTCGCAAATGGATTTATTTCTTGGCATGTTTCTGTTCCCACCGCTCGTCCCTCCCCCGAGGAGCCCGCGGCTGTGGCCTCTCCGTGGAAGCTCACCACAGTCACGCGACCACCCAGTTCCCCATGCAGCCTGGCACCACTACCCCGCTCTGCTCTCGACTGCCCTGCACACCCGTGGCAGCCAGGCACCCGGGTGCGTGTCCCCTTCTGCGCAGGGGCACCCCTGTGGGATGCCCCCCCACACTGGCAGCTGGCTTCTCCCACCCAGCTGCCCCCCTTGTGCCACCACTTCAGCTGCCACTGACTCCAGATCTCCCGTTGTTCAAAGCTGCCCTGTTTCAGCCACGTCTGCCTTTGGCTGGCGGATCCCCCGCTCCAGCCCCCACCAGCCTCAGTGCCCCCCCACATCTGCTGCCCCTGACAGCAGGGCAAACGCCATTCCTCCTCCTTGGGCTTCCCGTGGTAGATGACACGCTTGTGGAGGAAGCCACGTAAGACACGTGTCTGCAGCAAAAGCTTGGGCAGACAACGGCAGGGGGATGGGCCAGGGGGGCATGCACTGGAAGAATCACCCCCACAACCCCCCAAGAAAGGCTCCCAAGGGCAGTTCGTGAAGATGAACCCCACACTGGTTCTCTGCGCTTGGTCTTGCATTCGAAAAGTCATGGCTTGAGAGGAAGAGTTGTTGGGATGGAAGAGGAAAAACATGCAGCGGCTGTTGAATGGGTGTTCTCGGCTCTCCCGCTCAGGTCTTGCTGGTGTTCCCCATGTGGAAGAATGTGTTGCAAAAAAGAGGATGCATTTGGAGCAAATTCTCTCTCCTTGATGGGGCTATTGAAGGGCCCCCCTCCAGGGACTGACAAGGGGTGTGTGTTGTGGGGAGACCTCCCTGGCTTCCTCGCGTCCTCTCTCTCAGTTCTGCTCACTTTGCCTCTGTTTCCTTTCCAACCCATGAACATGTGTGCACACACGCACAGACTCAAAGTGCTGTTTGCAGTCGCCTTGAGAGCAGAGACTTGTCTGTTGATCTCCCTGTTCAACATCTAGAGAGGTCTCGTTTGGAAATTGTGCGGTCAAGTGAACTCACACCGTGGAAGAGCCAGCACAACGGATGATAAGCTCCAAAAGAAAACACCCATAAAATAGGGAAGGCTTCTGTTCCTCCAAAGGTGTAGCTTCGGTTGCCTCAGTCCTTCCCCAGCAGGAGGCCTACCAATGTGTAGGACTGCAGTCCCTATCATTTCCAGCCAGGGTAGCCCATGGCCAAGGAGTATGGGTGTTGTAGTACACTGCCATTTGGCAAAGTTCGCAAGGCAGGGTCTTTCCCCCGCTTTCTAAAGGGGGTCACCAGAATGCTCCTGAGGCCTCCTTGGCTGCCCATGCTGGCTGGGGATGATGGGGTCTTAGTCCCACATGGGCTGGGGAAAGCTGCCTCGGGAGTTGCAGAAGCGCAAAATGTGAAAAATGCTGGACCTCCTGGAGGATCGCCGTGGGGTGCTGTCCTCTTTCTTTCAGGGCACGCTCTGGGCTCCCCGCCGTTGCCCAGGAGTCCCAGCTGGTCCCCAGAGCCGTCCCCTCAGAGGCACCCCTTGTTCTTGCAGAAGACACCTCCCAAAAGCTGGCCAGCGAGACGCTGGAGGAACTTGACTGGTGCCTGGACCAGCTGGAAACGCTGCAGACCAGCAACTCGGTCAGCGAGATGGCCTCCAACAAGGTGAGTGCCGGCCCTGGACTCGCTCCTCGCTCGTGCTTCCACGGACTAATTCCCTTCCGCCTTGCGGGGTGTGCTTTGAAAGCAGTGTCCGGGTGGGATGCGGGGGAGGGCTGGCTCCAGGTAGCCGCGGGGGCCATTCCAGCCGGCAAAACGATGCCGCCCTGGCTGCATTTCTGGGACAAGGCTGGTGCGCCCCCCTCATCCCCATGACAGCCGCATGAGCATACCCCCACACGTAGGGGCCTCGCTGGAGGGCTGGTGGGGAGGAGGGAAGGTCCCCCAAGAGGAGGGAGCCGAATTTATTCCATTGGGAAGTGGCTTTGCGAGCAATTAATGTTTTCTGCGGGGAAGCGCTGACACAGAGCACCCGCTCAACCTGTAGTGCCCCCCAGAGCTCTAAAGTCTGCAATGGGGACGTTTCCCCAGCCCTGGTCCGCCACACCGTGCCACGGGCAGGGAGCCACATCCTTTCCCAGCTGCCAAGAGTCTCTTGTGCGGGGCTGGCCGCTCTCTCCAGATTTCCCCGCTACCCCAATCCCTCTTGAAGAACTTGGCCGGCCAGCTTTCGGGTTTGGGGGAGTGAGGACTCCTCTGTCCACACTCTGCTGTGCCTGGCTCGGGTACCACCAGGGTTAAAGCCGAGCTGAGTTTCTCCAGCCAATCAGAGCACCTCGCGGGCTGGTGCCCTGCATCCACGGCCCCTGATTGGGCGGCTGTCTGGAGCATCTTTGGAACATCTAGAGTACGCTTAGGCAGGGAGAAACCTCCCCACTCCCCCGCCCCCTTCTCGCCTGGGTCTGGGGTCTGCAGAGTGCTTTGCTCTGAGCTGGCTTTTGAGCTTTGCACTCCTCGGAGAACATCTCTGGAGTGGCTGAGCAGCCCCGGAGCAGGCGGGGAGTGAGAACTTTGGCTTTGCACAGAAGCCAGCACTTTTGGCTCTGTGATACCTGAAGCCAGTCCTCGCTGTGCTCATATCCCAGCCCCACGTAATACAGGTAAGGAGGAATTCTCCCACAGCGAACGAGGAACTCTTGCCAGCCCTCTTCCCAATGGGGTCCCAGGGCTCAGCCCCCACACAGGTTTGCTTTTCCCAACATTTAGTTTTTTCCTGGGAAATATTTCCATTTTTGTTACCAAATCACAGGGCACTATAAAAATGCATATGTGTATTTATTTTTAAATTACACACTGCAATTCTAACTCTCCTGTGAGTGGCCACCCCAAAAGGCATGCACTTTTTGACTGTGCAACATTCTGGTGTAGTGGGCAGTCTTCTCCAAGCTGGTGCCCTCCAGGTCCCATCTTTCCCAGCCATGATAGGAGAGGCAGGTCCAATATCTCTCCCTGCTGTGTAGGAACTGCCAAAAAAACCCCATTTTCTTTATTTCAAATGTCAGGTTGCTTCTTGAAGACTTCTTTAAAAAAAAGGTTGAGGGGTGCCACAGTTTTTGTGTCCCAGCACCACCCCACCCCGCACCCCCTGCCCCAGAGAAGCTGTGCTACTCTCTGGGCAGCTGGCTGAATGTTGAAATGGGAGGGGTGTTTCTGGAAGGTGATGTGGCAGGTTAAAACCCTTCAGTAAAGCAACAGGTGTCATGCAGCTCCATGTGCCCTCCTCATCGATTTAATTCCTCCCGCTGCAACCCAGCATTTCTGGACTGGATCAAGGTTGGGCTTAATGGATATGCAAGAGCTCCATAGGGTGCATATTGGGAGGAAAAAGACGTAGAATCCATGCATGTTTAGACAGAAAAAGTTGCTGCAATTCCTTGCCTGTTTAAAGAGAAAAAATGCTCTATTTCCCAGGGTTTTGCTGGAATGGTGGGCTTTTCTCTGTCTAAATATGCCTAGAGATGCGCCCTTATCGTCCCGTTGTGCTGTCTCCTAAGCTGACTGTTCCAGGGGTCTGCTTCTTTGGGCACCCTGCTTTCCAGAGACAAGAGAGCACTTTGCGCGCCCCAAGGCTCGCTCTCGGGAGTTTGCTTGGTTGGAGCTGCAGCTATCCTTCAGATCTTTGTTTGTTTTGCTTGCGGCAGAGGAGGCTGCGCCAACCCCGATATCTCCTTGAAGGGTTCTCAGAATCTGTGAACTTGGCATAGCCACACGCCTCCCTCTGATATCCACCCTGCACGCTTAAAATCTTATTAGAGGAAGGACAGTGATAATTAGAAAGACTTTTTACAAGCTGCATATTTGAAAAAGTTTGCATTTACGCGGAGCCCCCTGAAAGGCACCCAGGCTTCTCAGATAGCTTTGCTTTGACTGATCCCGATTTCCTAGCTGAGAGTCGGGTGAACAACCTGCTTGCGACGACTCCTTCTTTCTGTGGCGGGGGGAGAGGGGGGCTCTTTTTATCTGGGGAACAGGTGTTCATTCTCAAAGCCAGCTGCCCACCTGTCGCTTCTCTGGTCCTCCTCCTCTTTCTTTCACACCGACCTGCACTTATCCGCTAGTTTCCTGTCTTTTAAGAAGCTCCCCCCACATCTAAAACTCTGAAGTGTGTTTGCTGAATGCCGGAAGCGGTGCTTTGGCCCTACCCTTTTGCCTTGAGAAAGTGGCCCCTGAGATCATCTTCTGGATGAGTGGCAGGGGCTTGGCAAGCTCGCATTGGAGTGTGGGTCCAGCGGGAGGCTGGGCATAGCGGCATATAAGAAAGGGAAAGTTTGCCCCTCCCTTACGCGGAGGCGCTGTGCTCCCACTGAGTTGCTTTTCTGAGGAACGCTGAGGACTAGGAAGGTGCTCTCCCCTTGCTGCAAAACTCCTTCCTCAAAAGACCCTCGGCATGTTATCAGCAGGTGCCATGGTGTGTAGGATGAAGGGAGGCTGAGGTTTAATGAGGTTGCCTGTTTTACTTCTTAAACTCTTTCTAATATTGTGACTCTCTTTCTCCAGTTCAAAAAGATGCTCAACCGAGAACTGACGCACCTCTCGGGAACAAGCCGCTCTGGAAATCAAGTGTCTGAGTTTATCTCCAACACTTTTCTGGGTGAGTCATATCCCTCGCAATCTCTATGAAGGAATGAAGCACTGGAGGAAAGAAGAGAGAGAGAGAGCTAGGATAATTAATTTGTGAAGGCTGTGAGTTGTTTAGCAAACAGTTCCGGACAGAAGTGCCCACCATGCCTTGTCCAATATTAGTGCCAACTTGGAGCCCCACAGGCTTCCAAGGATATGAGAAATAATTTTTACAGATGTTTAAATGTGGTTTGGATTCTTTGTCGCCCCAGATGCCATGTGAGAGAGCATCCCAGGGACATTGACTGTGTGCATAAACACTTTGTGCTCACTCCTTGGCAACTGTTCTCCTCCTTCCTGGGCCAGTCCTCAGACTCTCTTTGCTCTGGACTGCAACCTCTACCTGGCCGGGGCTGCTGCTTGTTCACACCCCTGTGCTGACAGTGCAGTCTGGAAAGGTGTGGAAGGCTCAGCCCGGGAGCTTGGAGCACACAGACACAACGGGAATTCCTAAAAGCGGTGAAGAGCAAAAGATCCAGCAGGTGGGAGGCTTTGGTGTGGAGCCCAGAATCTTGCTGGCGCTGCAGTGCTGCTGCTGGGATGGGGGCAGCCGGGCCAGTCTCCGGGTGAGACCTCCACTGTGTGCTGAACAGGGGCTGCCCCTGGAAACTGTTCCAAAGCTGCAGCTGCTGCCAAGGACAGTGTCTGGACTGGGACGGGGATGAGGTTCCTGCATGCTTCTGAACTAATTAAGTGGCTGGCTTTGACACATTAAGTCTCATGTAGCTCAGGACCACAATACGTAGAAACACAGAAAAACAGAGCAAGCCAGAAGGGGCCTCCCGGGCCATCTAGTCTGACCCCTGACTCCGGCCGGCTCTGCTCACGACATGCCCACCATGTGCATGTTCTATGTTTCCTCCTCCTCCTCCTCTTCCACCACCACCACCATGTTCTCCTTCCCCTTCTCCTCCATCTTCTCCTCCTCTTCCTCCTCCTTTTCCACCATCTTCTCCTCCTCCCCTCCTCCTCCTCCTTCTCCATCATGTTCTCCTCCTCCTCCACCGCCACTACCATGTTCTTTCTCCTTTTCCACCATCTTCTTCTCCTCCTCCTTCCCCTTTTCCACCATCTTCTCCTCCTCCACCACCACCATCTTCTCTTTCTCCTTTTCCACCATCTCCTCCTCCTCC